AGGATATTCTGCCCAAGCCGTCATCAGAGAAGGAATGCCATTCCAGAGCGGAAGTAAATGTTCAGATTTTGATTAAAGATTACCAAGAAAAACAAATTTTTTTCGGCGGATTAACTTGCACGGATTAATTATTCACATCAAGACTAGCAATGTGCGCTAATAAAGTAAATAAAGTCAATTTTGATTTCATGCGGACTTTAACCAGAAATGTGCACGCTGCTTTTCTGATGTTCACTGAAGTTGTCCGTGTCTTTTTCCCGTGTCACGTGAAATTCGTTTTGAATCGTTGTTACCAAAGGTGAGACACGTGAGGAAAAAATAAACGATCAGTTGTGGGACTATATTCTGTCATAAATCGCACACCATTCATTGCTGAACTTTCTACCGACCGTTACTGGAAATGAAATGAAATTACTGTTTGATATGTCCCGATCTCAATAAAGTTTACACACGCTTTTGGTCCGTGAATTAGATCTGTCTGTGGAGGTTTGGCCAGGACCGGTTCCAGAATTAAATCAACATATTTTATGTTCCGTCCATTGCCAATCACTGCTATTTCGAGAGTGAATCCCGCATAAATATGCGTGTTCTGTCGATTTGTGCTACCCTGTCAGATTTTGCTACCTCCCATTAAAACAGTGGGTAGTACAATTCGACAACGAAAAATGCTACCTGTAAAATTATGGTTTATTAACGTCTACACCTACCCCAACCCTAAACCTACCCTTACAGTAATGCAGATACATTAAATATTGTTGTTCAGCATGAGAAAAAGGATGCAATATTGATGTGCGCATGCGCAGTAAACCATGGTAGGACAATATGACGGGTAGGATAAAATGTCAGGACACCTGTTCCAGAATTAAATCAACATATTTTATCATATTTTATCTATTTCGAGAGTGAATCCCGCATAAATATGCAGATGTCATTCCCGAAACTTTGCAGGGTGTAGCCTATGTGTCAGAAAAACGAAAGTTTCATACAAATTCTGAACGGATTATACCCTAGAAAGTGCGCAAAGCGCGCTCCCTTTATCACGAAAAAGCATCACTCATCTTCATTCATCGCAATCTTACAAAGTTCCCTTATAATTAGTTAAGCTCTCTAAACTGCACAATTAATCTCTTATTTACATCGCGTCTGCACTTAATCATGAGATGATTCACGATTCACGACTCACGAGCGTGCAAAACTGCACTTAAAAACTGCGGCGCTTTCAGCGGTGAGTGAATTCTGACAAAAAGTTTCTGATTGGCCATTGCATTCAAGAAATAAACAGATATCTGTGATTGGTTACATTGCTCAACGCTGCAAAAACACGTTGAGGGTATTTAGCGCTTGGCTAAGCGCTCCAATTGCAGTGGGGCCGACATCAGGGATTCCATGACTAACAATTTGGGGAGGCAATTGCTACCCCTTGCCCCCCCCCCAATGTCGCCCATGTATATATATATATATATATATATATCCATATTTTCACACTGAGGACAACTGAGGGACTCAGCTATGCACAGCTATAACAAAAGGTGGGAACATTTACTGATGCTCAATAAGGCCCCACAATGCATTAACAGTATGCATTAACCCCCAATTGTCCTCCATGTGAAAAGATGGATCTCAAAATCATACAGTCAATGTTGGAAAGGGTTCAAATATGCAGAAGATGCTGGAAAACCAAAGAATGTGCTGGAGCTGGAGGATTTTTCTGAAGAACAGCAGGCAGCTGAACTGCTCAGGACCAACAAAGGGACTCATGAACAACTATCACAAAACAGAAAAACAGTCGTGGATCATCCAGGAAATGACACATAGTATTAAGATTCACGGGGTCATGTTTATAAATTCATTTATTATTTTGTCTTGCGGAGAATATATAAACATCTGTTATATGAAATAGCTTATATATATGCAGTGCCCTCCACAAGTATTGAAACAGTAGAGACAAAATTGCACTGTTTGCTGTGGAGTCAAGAAATCTGTAAATATTTTTAAAAGATGAATATGAGACAAAACTACATAATGTCACATTTTATTATTAGCTGTTTCAACACATACATGTTTTACCAAATAAAACGGACTGCCCTTTTAGAGTTCATCCCACTATCTGATGTGAGCATAAGTATTGGAACAGTTGCCTCACAGGTCTTTCTGAGTGATCAGCTGTGTCCTGTTGCATTAATTCTTCAGATATTAAAAGCAGGGAATGTTTCATATAAGTTATATCCATTGCTTCTGCATTCCGAGTCTTGCATTTGATGACGACACACACAAACCAGGATGAAGACGAGGGAGCTGACTTTGAGAGAAAAGCATGCAATTTGGATGCTAAAAGACAAGAGGAAGTCAATTAGAGCTATAGCAAAAACAAAGGGCATGGAGAAATCAAGAGGTAGGAAACCACCGGCAACATCAGCAACCAAGAACGACCTGATCCGCTGAGAAACACAACAGTAGTTGATGACAGACAAATTATAAAAGCTGTGAAAATGAACCCTAAAATACAGGTCTGTAAAATTACCAACAACCTCCAGAAAGCTGGGGTGATGATCTGACAATCTACTGTCCGCAGGAGACTTCGACATAGAATTGGATTCACAGCTAGATACAAACCTCTGATCAGCACTTCCAGTTCCAGTTTTGGAACAGAGTTTTATACACAGATGAGCCAAAGATGAACCTTTATCTAAGTGAAGGGAAAGCAAAAGTGTGGAGAAAAAGGGAACTGCAAATGATCCTAAGCATACATCCTCATCTGTAAAGCATGGTGGAGGTGGTGTCATGGCATGGGCATGCATGGCTGACTCTGGAACAAGCCCTCTCAGTTTTAATGATGACTTAATGTATGATGACAGTAGCAGAATGAATTTGGAAGGGTACAAAACCATCTTGGCTACCAATATTCAAGAAAATGCGACCAGACTCATCAGAAAACGCTTCATATTGGATCAGGACATTGACCCAAAACACCCTTCCAGTTCAGTCGAGTTTATCAGGGCAAGAAAATGTAAAGTCTTAGATTGCCCAAATCAATCTCCAGATTTAAATCCGATTGAACATGAATTTCACCAGCTGAAGAGGAGACTAAAGGCAGAAACTCCCCAAAACAAGCAACAGTTGGAATTGGCTGAATTAAAGGCTGGAAAAAAGCATTTCAAAGGATAAGACCTAGAGTCTGGTGATGTCTGTGGGTCGCAGACTCACTGCTCTGATTGCACACAGGAGATCTGCAACTAAATAATAGCTTCTAAACTTTTACATCTGCCTTAAGTTCAACTGTCCCAATACTTATGCTAACATCAGATAGTATATATATATATATATAGAGAGAGAGAGAGAGAGAGATATAGATATATATACACAATTTTATTTAATAATTATAAAATACTATTTTTCATTAAAATCATTAATTTTGTTAATTAAAATTACTATTATGAATCATGATAAAATTAATTTTAATAATTAAATTGTAACTATTTAAATTGTATTCTTTTCATTGAAATGATTACTATAAACATGATCAAATCATTACATTACATATTATTTTACATTTTATAAATTTTATAAATTTTAATAATAATAATAATTATAATAATAATTAT